GCTGTGATACAGAACATAGGTAAAACTGATGCAAAATGCGATACAAGAGAATGATGGTTTGTTAAATACAGGGCTAAATATTCAAGTAGATGCGTGGTCGCAACGCGGCAAATTTGAAACCGTCGTGGCCTATGATGATTTCGCTTATAAACATCTTTTTAGGGTTATCTTTTTGCATATAAAACATGGCAAATAAGGGCAAATTAAAAATATTTTTTAACTAATCTAAAATAAAAAGACGAGATATAAGGTTAAGGGAATTGAGGGAAGGTCAAGGTTGACATTACTCTTATAAACCGCTACCATGGAAATGGATCAGTGTGGAAGAAATAACCGAAGTTCAAAGTAAATCTCAGTACCATACTTTGAACAAATGCATTCCTAAAATCACAATCATATTAACAAAATCACAATGATAATTTTTATCTCACAACTTATGTGCAAGTTGCAAATCCCACAAATGAACCCATCCATCCTACCCATAAATAGAATTTGCAGTTTGAATAATATGCATCATACATAAATGAAATTATTTTAACAGGCGGGAAAAGCATGCAAGGCGTCGAGAAATGGTCTGCAAGCATTTAACTGAAAGCAGCAATCAGTGACATCTTCCTCAACAAACTTCTTTTGTACATATAAATTCACGCCTTATTACTGCCAGGGATTGTGTGCATCCATGACCATGTGCTTTGTACAATGCCCCATACTTCCAAGAATCCTCAAAAACCTAGAATTTATCCTTTGAAAGTAGTATAGTTTTGATAGTTTTATACTTTGAAAAGAAATACAAATTCTTTAATTACAAAACCTTGCACCTAAATACAATCGAATTCTCATCAAAATGGATTGAGATTGAGAACTCTCAGGAATTGTTCGCAGATGCAACAATGCCCGTCATCAGTTCGATTCATAATTAATAAAAATTTTTTTGTTTGACTACAACCGCAATGATGGCATCATCTCATACATTTGTAATAAACCTCAAACTCTTCGTAGAATATTTAGAAAAACTTTATTTCAAACCCACAACCTCAACACCCACTCTCATATATCCGAGTAATAAGCACCTTTCTTTAGTAAGCAGCTTTACCAAAACACTTTAATCACATAACTTAGCCCACCGAACCCATCACAAGTGGAATGAAAAAATGAATTTGTAACAATGTTTAGCAAAACACAATCCCAGTGACATTCATTGGATGTCACTTCTGACCTGACCACATTATAATGTGAAGTACCCTTTATGCCACAATGCATTTCTCCTCTTCAACTCACGAAACTACATCATGCGCTAAACTGGACAAACAAACGTCCCTATACCCTACCACAATGAATTCCGATAATAATCCAAGTTATGATCGATTCGGTAACCTCGACAAGAACTCATGAAGTTGTTAGTAAATAAATATTGTGTTCCAAGATGATCACTTTGGATATTCAGCGCGAAAAGTTTTCCTTATGCGATTCATCACTTCCGTCATATACAGATACCGATTTTTTTCTTTTTCTCCCTTATAATTTAATGGAAAATTTGTTTGATAGAAATTTTTTTGTTATATGTTTTTTCTTTTTTTTTGAAACATAGTTACATTTTGTAATTTAAATTTGAATAATTAAAAAAATCATTCCAATATTATTGTTAATTTCATTTTCAACAAATTGATAACATTTGATCTTGTTTTTTCTTCTCTCTCTTTCGATCTATAAAGTTTAAAAACAAAGGGAACAAATTGCTATTAAAAGTATTTTCAATAGTAATGACTGACAAGATTACCAAATTATTTCTGCTATTTTCCTTCAATGATATTTCAGAGGTTTTTTTTTCATAAATATTTTGGTATCATTTTGGTAATTATTGTTATTTTCAGCGCGTTATGATTAACAAAAAAAAATTACTGTATAATTAAACGGATTTTATTGATTGTTGTAAACTGATGATTATTTATTGAACATAAAGCAATGTTATACAATATATATGTTAAATTTAATTAATTATTTGATTACATTGCTATTTTCAAGTTATTCACTCAGATTTGATCCGAAATTGATGAAATTATTAGCCAACCGATGATTATACTGTGCTTATACTGTAGAATTTGCTGTTATTATTATCACTATTATTATTGCTAAACAAAGAAAAAAAAGAAATCCATGTTGGAATCGTTATTTTTTAAAATTTAAGCAGAGAAGGGGGCGAATCTATAAATCAACAATATGTTTAGCATAGGAATTGCGACTATGATTTGATTTTGATTATCGAAAATGGAGAGGGAGTTGAGGATGAACGTTGGAAATTGGCGATGATCAAATTAGGGGTAATTAATCATTGCTTCCAATTGTTTTTCTTATTATACGGAAAAGTTTTTGCCGGAAGAATATTATTTTCGTTCAATATTTGGAATATTAAACTTGGAAACAATTTCAAATAATAAATTTTGATCAGTTCCCATTCGCAGCTAGACCGATTGCGAAATATTGTCTTTTTCTGATTTTAAGCAATTTTCCGATCGGAATGTGACTTGTCACGAATCCAGCAGCCTTTGACAATCATCTAAATGGGTTTTACAGCTAGATTGATCCATCACCTGCTTTTGATTTCTCGAAGTTTCCGTTGATGTTTGCTGCATGCTTCTTGCTGGGCAAGATGAGTGATTGAGGTGTGCTCGATGAGCAGTTCTCTTTATCCTTTTCCATGGGGTCAATTTGTACAGTTAGAGCATACGTGCTGAAGAGAACAACTTGTTGCTTATTATGTATTGAAAGGTACAGAGTAATAATACGGTCGCAATGACCTGTCAGTAAATTTCCCGGTTTGGATGCAATGTAATTCCCAACCAATGAAGCCAACACCCGAAAAGTGACTCCCATCTTTGGGTTTTCCTGACTAGTAGAATGTGTAACCGACACAATATCTATTAGGGTATCACCCACCCTCCACTGAGACCAGCAATGTCGATGTTGAGTCGTGGTAGTTCGTGAACAATTAAACCAGTGACGCTCAGGACATCCACTGTTCGCATTATCAAGCATGATTCTGATATTTCAGCACGCGACTGTCAATCTGTGTCCTTTGGAAGCAGGTGTACATACATCTCTTTTCACCTTTGTTCAATCTCGTCAGAAGATGCCCGTTAGCCGCGGTAAGCCAATAGGGCGGAGACGGAAATGAGCTTCGGTTAGGCCACCTTTTTAAGGCCCCTTTCATATGGAACAAGCAGTGCTCTTCATGGAAAATGCTGCTTAGTCGCTTAAGATGCTGTGAACAAGACTGACATTTCCAGGGTCAATCTCAAGCGACCAATGTCTTGAACCGCCTAAAACGGCTTTCACTCTATCCTATCATCAAAACTAGTAGAAAAAATCGCCTTTAAAACGTATGCATTCTTCTTTTTCAAATAGTTGTAACATCAAAAAAATTTCACGATTTTTTTTTTGGATTTCCTTGCACGGATTTCTATTTACCAGGAGATGTAATTAGCAGTAACAATTTATATGATTTCTGCTATTAGACTTATCATATTTTTTAACGGTGTTCAACATTGCACATAAATAAGCAAATATAAAATGTGCGAGACTATTCAACTTTCTAAATAACCTTCAAGATGTGTAAGTAGATTTAAGAAGCAAATATTACTTTCAGTGTAATTACTCTAATTAATCAACTACTATTGCAGGATTTGCAAATTAAATACTTTTTTCAGAATTGGCAAGAAATTACTCGGATCAATATGCGTTTCATCTGTTTCTTCTTCCTCTTCCGACTGTATAACACTCAGAAAATGGTAAATTCATTTAAAGTAGAAGTAGAGCTGAAATATATAGAAATTCTAGCACAGCTTAGGGTTAATAACTTTATATAATTTGAGGAACCAGAAACAGAACCGCTGGATTTATCAATGTCAAAAGTGTGCGGTGGAAGGATTGAACTGTCGTGGATTTCTGTTGAAGTAATTTGCAGTCAGTCAATTGTTGGAACAAGCAGGGGGATTTTACACGTTGGTTATCGAGAAGAAGAATCGGAGGTCCCTTGGAGTATTAGCGGCACCATTTTGATGTGGATGATGTGTGTGTGTGTGTGTGTGTGTGTGTATCGTAACGTTGTGGACAAAGAGGGAGAGTTAAATTCTTTACTTGTAAATGGTAAGGGTCACAAAAATGATACGATACTGCTGATAATGATGAAAGGAAAAGGAATCAACCAAACTGCTTGAGCGTAATGAAAAACTGGTCATCAAAAGCTCCTCGGACAACACTCAATACAGCTTATATAAGGAAAAAAGTGGGAGTGGTTTTGCTCCAAATATTTCAACAAATGTGATTTAAAACAAAGATCTAAGACATGAGTGATGATTGCATGGATAGATAATTTTTTATACTTTGG